CTAAGCAGACACCTGAGGGGACGGAAAAAAGTTCATGGGAAAATTCTATTATCTTTTCATTATATTTTTCCACTAACTTTATATGTATGCATGCGTATAAAATCCATGGCAACCTTCTTTTCATATAACCTTAATATATAATGCACATAAAAGAAGGTCCATTTAGACGAAGAGCTGGTCATCTAGTGTCAAATGTCTTCCTAGGGAGCAAATAGCTATGGGTTGAAAGTGTTCCTTAGAAAATGATGTTCATTCGCATTTCTGTGAAAATGAGAACCACATCAAGTGAGTATTCAAATTTGAGAGGACTAGAGCATGTGTGAGTTCACATTCGCTTTTACTTCCAAAAAGGAAAGAAAGAGAATCCTCAAGCACTGTTTGTACCAGACATGATTCTGCGCAATTTATGTGTTTTGTCTCATATGATTCTTTTGGAGTTACATAGCATTATCATGATCCCCATGATGACTGCATAAATGAAATCCCGGCGGGGCCGTGGGGAGGCTCCGGGAGACTAATAACTTGCCCACTGGTACCTAGCTGGTGAGCTTGAGAGCCTGGAATTGGACTTGGGCTGTCATAAACCCAAACCCATAACCTTCACCATTTCACCAGACAGGTTTTCTCGTCACATCATTACAAGAAGGAGCCACAGCCATTTCTGAAGCCTATTGAAACGTAATGTTGGGCATCAGAGATGCAGTGACTGCTGATTCAGAACCATGTATTCGAGAGATTAAACTTCAGATGAGTTAAGCGTGAGGGAAAAATGAGGGGCGGGGGGGAGAGGCAGAAAAGAAGAAAAGAGATTTTGTCATTGTGAAGGTAGAAATGATGCATACAAAATTCAGGATGGTGGAGGAGTTAACCTATATTAACCTATATAGAACTTCATTCCTTTCTACACATAGGTGGGATCCAGAAAGCATAGAGTATATAATTTAGAAGATGTACTGCTTTGGTGATTGCTTCCTTTGGGATTTTGTTCTTATTTTTTAAAACGGCGTTATTGGCATATACATCACATATAATACAATTTAGTTGTTCAGTCATATTAAGAAGAGTTTTGCAATCATCATCACAATCAATTCCAGAACATTTTCTTTTCATGCTCCTCCTTATTAACTCCTCATGGCCCTCTTCAATTACTGTCTCGATAGAGCTATCTATCCTGGATTTTATATGCAGAAAGTTATATAAAGCACAAACAGGAAGCACGCAAGCAAACAAACAAAAACCAACTACAATGTGTACACAACATATAGAAACCCCTAATCAAAAATAAAGCAGAAAATACTAAGAACTGAAAGAACTTTAAAATGGGTCAAAGGGAAGATCAAATGATAAGGTAAACGATATCTGCCATACTCAACTTTACAGTGATCTCTGTCTGATAGCAAGGCTATTCACATCCCTTGATGGTGTTTAGAAGGGAGAGGCTTAATCCATGTGAGGATATTACAAAGGGATGTTGAGCTTCTACTGTGACCCATATCCTTCTACAAACCACTGTTCACACAATTTACACTCTAATACCAATCCCACCTTCAGATTTCCATGTGGACTTGTTGACATCTCATTCAGATGACTGCTTGTTTGCAGACAAGCCTTTAAAATACCAGGCGCTATTATAGGGCCTTGCATTCGTAGCGTCCAACAGTGTGTTCTTTTCAACCTTAATTTTTTTTCTAAGGATTAAGTCTTTATTGACTGATTGTATAAGTGAAACTGAGTGTCTTTGGGTGACCAGCACTTTGTCTTCTTTTATGGGTATGAGAGAATTATGCCATTATTGACCCTGGCATTTATGGGTAACCTACTTAGTGACAAAGTAGAGTGAGATGTTTCTTGGTCTGTACTTTTCATGGCTCGATGAGCCTCAAGGTGGGCATCACAATCCACCAAGTGCTCCATTGGAGGAAGATTTACAGCCTCGGAAACCCTATCTAAGGTTGTTATTATCAGAATTGACTTAGTAGTTATTATGGTTTGGTCTGGTACTGATAGGTTACAAAAGTTGTCGGACCTGTGTTCCCATCTTCAGCTTAATCATAAAACTCCTTGGGCAACATTTTTCTGCTCTGCTCTTCAAAGGGTTGGGTGAACATTTCTCTTGCTGTGATGCTTCTGATGGAATATTGGGGTCGATTTTTTTTTTCATTCTAAGAAAGACAGAGCTTGGAAAATCCTCAAGGCCTTGAATTGCTTTTTCAGTTTTCGAAACGTACATTTTAGTACTTTACCATCAAGACAAGAACTCCATGCTCTCTTGAGTTTAATTGCTTTTAAGTATAACAGCTATAAGCCTTAGTAATTATAGTTAACATTCTCTGCATTAACACTGCATTACTCCCCTAGGGTTTGCAGAGTGATTTCCAAATAAATACATTCAACTTTAAATAGCTCATGAGGACTGGCGAGCCCAGGAGGTGAAGGATGGAGGGTGCTTGCTGCTCTCCAATTATGCAAAGCTCATCACGGCATCCGTGACTTACAGATTTTGATTGTCTGAGCCAGAGTTTTCACGAATACTCACATTAGCCCATCAAAGAAAGGTTTAAGTATGTGGAGATAGGGAAAATGGTTATGTTTTGGTTGTTTTATTACCTAGGTAAAGAACTAATGGACAAAAATATCTCAACTTATCAATCACTTCTACTGGTTTACAGAGCTTCATTGTACTAGACCTGGGATGAAAAGAAATACGAAGAAAGTATAGAAAAATATTTACCATCTATACTCGTGTATGAGCCGAGTTTTTCAGCACATTTTTATGCAGTTTTGTGGTAAAATTAGGTGCCTCGGCTGATATTCGGGTCAGCTTATACCCAAGTATATATGGTAAAAGGTTTTCTTTCATTTACCTAGGCTAAGTATACCGTAGGCCTTGCAGGAAAATATGAGAAGTGTTTTTTCCACTTGGAAAAAGTTAAGCAATTCTAATGTAGGGAGGGGGCAATGATTGGATAGTGAATGAGGCATCCCCACCAAAGCATGCCATCTTATCTGAGTAGGAATTCTAGACTGAAGCTATTTGTACTGATTTCATTAATGAGTTGCCTGCTGTTTGGGAGGAGAGGAAGAACAGCACTGTTTCTGCAATGGGCATAGGGAATTTGGTTGGTTTGATTACCTCTTATCATTTATCTATGCAGTTCAAGTGTTTGGAAAATTTGTTGAAAAGTCAGATCAACTGAGTTCCTGGGTAGTCTTTCTTCTTGACTAGGTTAGTAATAAAAATAACAAGGATAATAATGTTTTCATATTCTAATCATACCAAAGACATCCCAAACTTCAGCTTCCCTAATACTGATAATGGCAGATGTGTCCAATTTGGAAAAAATTCTGCTTTATGAAAATTCACAGGCTGTGATTTATTAGCATGGAAAGGTATCCCACAATATTGTGCAGTGCATATTCTGTTGACTTGCTAAAAAGGGGAGAAAGTTGCAATTTCTCTCATCTTCTTGAATATTGAGGATGTCTGTGCTTTTTGAGGAGCTCTGAGCACCTACACATTTCCTTATTTCCATAATGCCAGAAATTGAATTGTAAGCTAAAAGGATACAATGAAATTAAATTCTTATTCCTAATCTGCTTCTCCCTTTGATTTGTGATATGGTTTATAGGTTTGAAAAAAGACAAAGTTCAGTAGATACAGAGTTGTGTTTGGGCTTAGGGTTTGCATATGCTTTTCTATCTTTAAAATATGTATGTGTGAGTGTATGTATATGTGTGTGTGTACACAAACACACATATACATTAATATATATATATATATTAATGACACTGGATGTTAGGGGGCTGTGTTAGTCTGGATACTTTAGAGAAACAAATCCACAGAAACTCATGTATGAGAGAGAGTTTTATATAAAGGGTAAGTACGCATCAAGAAAACATCCCAACCCAGTGCTGCCCAAGTCCACAAGTCAAACATTAACCCATTAACCCATATGCCCAACACCAGTCCACAAAGTCCTCCTCCATCTCACAAAACACACACAATGACGCCGACTGCAGGAGGGAGGCCAAATCAGTGAACGTGTAAGCATCTCAGCGCTTACAGGGGGCTCCACGTGGCTACTCTAGCACCCATGGCTGCATCGGGGTAGGTCCATGTAGCTTCTCCTTGGGGATGTCTTGCAGGAAGTGAGCCTTTCCAGCTAAATCAGGGATTTGGATAAGACAGTTGCACCCTGGTCCGACCATCAGAAAGCAAGAAACCCGAGAACTCGAAAGGCGAGGCTCACCAAGCCATTTATCTCTCCTCTCTTCAATTACCCCCACATGTGTTTATCGGCCAGGTTGGCACAATAAACTTTAGCTATATCAGGGGCCTAGGTACCTATCTTGAATCATGGGCATCTTTCAAAATGTTTAACTGTATCTACATGGTTCGTGTTATAATGTTAGAGATTTCAATTCACTTATTTATTTTGAGAAATATATTGAGCGAGAAAAGGTTTATAGGCAACAATCCTATACATGTAAGTCAATAAAATAAAGTTATTGCAGAGCGGAGGGAAATTGTAAAAGATTAAGTGGCAAAGCGATCAAAGTCATAGTAGAGGTACATGAAAAGAATTAGTGGGGGGAAATGGAAGGAGAGATGAGAAACGTGTGACGGTTTGGGAACATTTTCTAGAGAAAATATTGGAGCTTGACGCTGAAGGGTAAAATGGCAGGAATACAGTTTTCTAGAAGCTACTGATCAGCCCCTACTTATGTGAATAGAGAAGATGAAGATTTTAAAGAAGGTGGGCTTAAAGAGGAAGGGCCTAATACGGGGTTTCTAATTCCTGTTCTCTTTATGATAAATATGAGGAAGCTTGCTAGTCAAGATGAAGGATCTTTTCTCCAGCCAGGTGTTTTTGTTTGTTTGTTTGTTTTGTTTTGTTTTTGTAGCATAGGGCAGGGAGAGAGCTTACAACCACAAGCCCTGATTTTGAGATTGGCTAACTCACCATGTTGTTCTTTTCTCTCCCAACCTGGATTTTCAGCTGAACAAGAAACAGGTGTATGTTGATAAGGTGGAGAAAATGCAGCAGGCCCTGGTGCAACTGCAGGCAGCATGTGAAAAACGAGAGCAGCTGGAACACCGTCTTCGGACACGACTGGAGAGGGAACTGGAATCCCTCAGAATTCAGCAGGTACTGAGATTTGAGAGAGAAAAAAAATCCAAGGAAAATGATATTATTCATTGTCTGTGTTTTTCAGTTGGCTTTAAGACCTAAAGGTAAAAGCCACATTCATATTCAGGCTTTTTTTTTTTTGCACCACCTGTGGGTTAGGCTTTGGGCTGCTTTTCTCTATGGTTGAATGTTCAAACCCACCAGCCACTCTATGCAAGAAATATGAGGTTTTCTGTTCTGATAAAAATTCCAGTTTCAGAAACTATGGAATCCACAGCAGAAACCTGTGGATTGCGACCCCTTTAGGGGTCAAACGACCCTTTCACAGGGGTCACCCGATTCATAACAGTAGCAAAATTACAGTTATGAAGTAGCAACGAAAATAATTTGATGGTTGGGTAGTCACCACAATATGAGGAACTATTTTAAAGGGGTCACGTCATTGGGAAGGTTGAGAACAACTGTTCTATAGGGTCACTGTGAGTTAGACTCAACTCTATGGCCATGGGCTTCGTTTTGCTTTTTTTTTTAAATGATCTTTAGAAAGCATCTATCGATTCCCCTTTTCCAAAAACTGAAAATTCGCTGACATCAAGTTCGACTCATAGGGACCCTGTAAGACGGAGTAGAACTGTCCCTATGAGTTTCCAAGACTGTAACTGTTTACAAGAGACGAAAGCCCCATCTTTCTCACAGGGAGAAACTGGTGGTTTCAAACTGCTGACCTTGCGATTAGCAATCCAGTTTGTAACCTACTATGCCATCAGGGCCCCCTTTCCCTTTTTAAGTGAAGAAAATAAGGACCCGAATAGAGTTGCATGACTCATTTCAAGTCACAGCAAGTTAGGGAGCAAGGTAGAGATTTGAAACCAGAGTTTTCTTCCCATTTCTGTTGTGGCCCATTTTGGCAGATGGAGAGAGCATTTAGTAGCCCACTGGTTCACCTTCTAAACAGCATGACCATTTGACGTGGCAGGCTCCTTTTCTCACCAAAGGAGTCACATAATCAAGCTCAAAAGACAAAGTCCTGTGGCCTTAGCAGGAGATCTGAATTGGCCTTGCTTCTGAGTGAGTACCACGCTGAAGTGGCTTGATCAGCAATCCTTTCCAAGAATCCAAAGCCATGGCCATGGAGTTGATTCCAACCCACAGTGACACTATGTGTTACTGAGTAGAAGTGAACTGCATAGCATCGGGGCTCAAAAAATGGGACAAACATAGTGGTTCTTCTCATACTAAATGGAGGATCTTGGAACATCTCCCCTACCAGCGCCAGGGCATTGCTCAGCCCACCAACGTTTCCGAATACAATGCCGCTGCCCTGATGGAGCTCCTTCGGGAGAAGGAGGAGCGGATCCTGGCTCTGGAAGCTGACATGACAAAGTGGGAACAGAAGTACTTGGAGGAGAATGTCATGAGACACTTTGCTCTGGATGCTGCTGCAACTGTGGCTGCTCAGAGGTAAGCACTTAGTTTATATTGTCATTATTTGATTGGAGGAGATGGGGAGAACCAAAAGGTAACCAATTAATGGATTTTCTATGGAGTGTTTAAAACTTTTATTTATTTTTTGGTCTTTAATGTTCTGTTTGTTCCTCCCATTCCTGCTTAAGTGCCCCCTACCCCCCGGTATGCTCCATTACATACTGAATGATTGTCACAGCAGAAAGTCATAGCATTGAAAATTAAGGTTATTTTAGCAATCTATGTGAAACCGTAGCGCAGCTTTGCACGGGAGCCCGAGCAGTTGCAGACGGGGTCGGGGGGATATGTGTATACTTCCTTTACCAGAGCCACAGCTTCTTTAAGCATCTTTGTAGGTTTCTTGGTTTAGCGCACATATTGGCGTTCAAGCCTCTCCTGAGAAGTATCACTAAGAAAGTAAATGTCACTCAGGAGTGACTGCTGCCATTTGATAGGTCTGGCTCATCCCAGGAATGTCAAGGGCTATGCTGAATATGAATCCACCCCTGCCTTTTGAGTAGGTTTATATTTGAAGGCCATATTCTCTTTGTGCATGAGCTCACCACATAAAACTAATCACATTCCATCTGGTAGAGGAGAGAAAATGGTGGAAGGAGTATTAATAAAAGAGGGAATCAATCACAAGGATCAAACTAGAATCCCCTCCCAGGGGGACGAATAACAGAAATGTGGGTGAGTGGCAACGGAGGACAATGAAAGATATGGAAAAATAACTATAACTTATCAAGGGTTTGTGAGGTAGGGTGGGCGAGGGAGGGAGGGAGAAGAAATGGGGAGCTGATATCAGGGACTCAAGTGTGAAGAGAATGCTTTGAAATGATGACGGCCGCATATGTGCAAATGTGCTGGACACACTGGATGAATGTATGGATTGTGATAAGAGATGTAAGAGCCCCCAATAAAAGTATTTCAAAACAAAACAAAACAACATTTTTTGCCATCTCCTTTGTTTCCCTTTTCATATTTTAAATAATGATTCTTGGACTTCGGAGGGAAAACGTGCTCTGATAATGTTTGCCCACCTTTCTGTTACTCACGATCATGAGTCAGGAAACAAAACACACTAAATTCAAATCAGGGGATGCCCTGGGTTGTAAAGTTGGGTATCTAAAGCCCTAAAGTCGGTTACAGCGTATTGTACCCAGAGAGGTCGCTAGCCAGAAAGTTATTAATACACCGCTGTTTGGGGCTTTGACAGTCTTCTAAGACAAAAGAGTCTGAAAACACTTCTCAAGTTTTGTACCTGGAAGGGGTGGTAGATACATTTGTTTTTGATCCCTTCTCATGACAAATCTAAGGGAGTGGGGTGGCAATATTCAAGAGCAAGACTAGTGGTTTGTGAGTCTGCTCTCATTTCCTCAGGAAAGTATCATAAATTCCTCTAATATGCTCTTCAGATATCCTCTATAATGTCAATGGGCTGTAGGTGCCTGAAGCTTAACTGTCTTTGTTTCTTGAGAAAGGTGTGCTCAATCTGTGTCCGTGCCGTAATAGAGTGCCCGGCTGTGCTAGAAGATGGTAGAGAGGTTTGGAGGCAGATTAGAAGCCGACTTAAGTGTAATTTTAGCTTCTAGTTCCCAAGGAAACACCTGAGCCCAGCACTTGTTCAGAGGTTATTCACAAAACCCTAACACTAAAACCATTGTTATTATTGGGGGTGGGGAGATTCAGGGTAATTTTGTCATCTTTTGGGCAGAACTTTAGAAAGAAACACCTCACGAAATGGCCCAAGGTCATACACAACTAGTAAGTTGCAGAAAAGCCAGGATTTAAATTTAGATTGCTGCCACCACAGCCGGTGCACTGGGCTGCCTCCCAGAAATAACGAAACACCACGGAAGTGGAAGAGAGATCTGTAACTGTCCAGTGAGATACTAGCTGAAGCAAAGTATTCGCTGCAAGCTGATCGCACACGTCACAGATGTCTATTTCCTCTGGAGGCAGTTCGTCATTCCCATTGAACCTTTTCTCGGTTATCTTTGTCCTATTCAGTAGCTTCCAATGGTGACATCTCTAAGATCAAAATAAGAATTTTCAATAACTTACTGGATACCATCCCATGGTTAATACTAAGATACGAATACCAATATAGCGAGAATCAAAATCCACACCAACGTTTGTCCAAACCCCTGAAACCTCTCCTGGTTTTCTGTCACCAAGCTTGATATACTCTTTTCTTAGTCGGTATGAAGTACAAACACCAATGTTCTTATCCATTCTCCCATCCCTCTAACACTCCCACTTCTATCAATTCTACCTCCCACACCCTATTTCCATTTCCTTTGCCACTTCACTAGCTCTTGTTTTCATTAACTCTCGCTGAGATTATGACAATAACCTTGCTGACTGCTCTGCCTGATTCCTGTGTACCCCTTGTCGAATTCCTCCACCACATTTCAGCAAGAGATAATGCTGTGTCCCTGAAACAGTGCAGATAATAGCCTTTCCCTCCAAAAGCGTCACTAATTTCCATTGCCCTGGTAAGAGCCCTGGTGGTGCAGTGGTTAACGTGGTCGGCTGCTCACCAAAAGGTCTGACGTTCAAACTCACCAGCCAGGAGAAAGATGATGCAGTTTGCAGCTGTAGAAAGGTACTGCCTTGGAAACCCCATGGGGCAGTTGTACTCTGCCCTATAGGGTTACACAATGAGTTGAAATCAACTGGACTGCAGTGGGTTGGATTTTAATAGATAATATTCAGCCTCATTCTTCTAATAGTTGTTTATAGTCATTTTCCCTTAAAAGTTTCCTACAGTCCGAGAATATTTTTTTCTGTTCTCTAGCCTCCCAATGACTTCAAACTCAGTGATCATTCATGGTGTACAGTTCATTTATGAAATAAGCAATAGGATGCTATCAATAGGAAACGAAGGAGTGGGAGTTTGAACTGCTTCTCTTTGGTGAGATGTGGGATTTTAGCTGTGTATTAATGATTCCACAGGCCTATGTGGCCTGAGGACTGGGTATGCCTCTTTTCCAGAAAAAAAGCTAAAAAATTATTTAGCACCCCCATCCTCAGCAATGAAAACCATTTGTACTTTAGCCCATAATTCAGGATCAAATTTAGGCATCTGTTTCTGTAGCTCCCTGGATCATTCCAGTGTTCTTCAGGGGGTATTATTGCCCACTTTGGGAAACACTGGCCTAAACCATTGACCTAATGGCCCTAGTCTCCTAGATGAAAGATTGATGCTAAGAACTATCCTGGCAGCTCTGTAGGAATTCACTAAGTGCCCCAAATTTTCAGGCTCCATTCCTGAAGAGCTCACAGTTCACATATCAATTAGCTGGCAGGGCCCTGCGTCCCCAAAATGGTCTTTATGTAATCAAGGTGGCAGTAATCCAGGGCTGGCTCCCCCAGTGACAAGCCATGTACTTAAGTCCTCAGTGGCCACAGACTCCATAGACTTTTTCAAGAGATCTGGCACTGAAGATGCCTTCAGCTGTCAAATTGGACCAGGAATTGCCGCCAGAATAATACCAAGAATTGGAAATTCTTTCAAGTCATAAATCATCTCTTTTTCCATTATTTTCCTTCTACCCATCCTTTTCCTCCTCCTAATAGATATGTTGACTGGGTACTTACACTGGCCCTGCCATTGTGTGCTGTACATGCAAAATTTTACTTCAGCCCCACAAAACCCTAGGAGATGTTAGATCAATTATAGTTCCCATTTTATATTTGAAGGGACTGGGACTGAAAGCCGTGAATTGGCTTCCTGACTCCATAAATCAAAAACAAAAACTCGCTGCCATCTAGTCAATCCCAACTCTTAGGGACCCTATAAGACAAAGTAAAACTACTCCATAGAGTTTGCCGGACTGTAAATCTTTATAGAAGCCGACTGCTACATCCTTCTCCTATAATGTGATTTTCTTCTTCTCACTGTCATCGAGTGGATGCCGACTCATAGCGACCTTATAGGACCAGGTAGAGCTACCCCTATGAGTTTCCATGGCTCTAACAACTGTTAGGTAGAAAGCCCTGTTTTGTGCTTTCTAACTGCTGACCTCACGGTTAACAGCCCGATGTATAACCACTATACCACCAAGGCTCCCTCAAGGTTTGAATTGCCAAACTTGCTTAGTAGCCAAGCGCTTTAATCACTGTGCCACCAAGACATGTTTGTCCTCCTGAGGCCATCTTTTAAAAAAAAGGGTCCTGCCACCAAGTTGATTCCAACACCTGTGACCCTCTAGGCCAGAGTAGCACTGCGCCTGTGGCTTTCCTAGGACGCCAGTCTCGAAGCGAGCAGAACACCTCATCCTACAGAGGCATTCCGGAGTTCGATCTGCTGCCCTTGTGGTTAGCCCAACTCGTAACCCACGATGCCACCTCCTTACTGGCAGACTACCTAGGAAAGCTGAGGTTTGGCCCCAGTGTCATCAAGCCCAGCACAATGATGCTTCTCCGTGTGTCCATTTTCACCCAGACACCATCCCCAGCATACTTAGAAGCAGGTGAATGGCACTAAAGGAAGCACAGAATTCTGCAGTGTGAAAATAGCAGTTGGGGAAATAAGAATCATTGTTTTCCTTCCCTCTTCTTAGTTTTAATTATTTTCACTTTTGAAATTGCTTCCACATCACCTATAACGTATAAGCATTTTGGAGCAGAATAGTTGGGCAGAGATTCCTCAAAATGCCCCAACTTTAATCTTAACTGTCTGCCTCTTCACTCACCCTGCCCCCCACCCTTTCAGCAGCATCTGCCACTGGTTCTGATCCTTAAACTACAAGTATTTACATGTTTGGAGTTCTACTACAGTACTCACTGGAAGCAGTACCAGTTCATTGTATTTTAGATCTGTTGTCTGATTACATCACTAATTATATGACTATTCCTTTTTGTCAGTAATTTGAAGGGTTGTGGAAAGCAAGTCTCTTGTCACCAGTTTTCCACCCGCAAGTGTTCACTTTGTTCCTCCATCACATTTTGATAATTTTCCCAATATTTCAAGCTTTCACAATGCTAATGCGCCCTGATAGACTATAGGATAATGTAAACATAACTTTTATATGCCCTAGGAGGTCAAACAAAAATTCTTGTCCATCACTGTATTGTGTGACATTATTATGGTGTTTCGTAGCCGAACCCACAATATCTCTCAGGTATGACTGTAAGATCCAGTTTCCTTCATTCCCATCCCTCTTTTCTCTATTGCTGATTCTAAATGAACCATGAAAACATGTGTGGCCTCATTTATCAGATGATATGCATATTTCTTTGGCTTGTAAAGAGAAGTGCTAGTCTGTCTGTCTGTCTCTCACACACACATGCGTGCATGCACACATGCGCGGGTGCATTGTTTCATGTTAATTGCTCTTTGAGTTAATTGCCAGAGACAGTTTCAGCAGGAACATGATGGCCTCTTGTGCAGTTGGGAACCTGGCAAGAGAACAGTCACTTAGTCGGGTAGACTCATCGATTTGGCACTAGCATGTTTCAGATGTAGGTTAGATAGGAACTGTGGCACTGACTGAAAGGCACTGCTTGTCACTCAGCTCACATGCCCTATCTGATCTTAGCTGTTCATTCATCTGTAGTTTGTTACTAACTCCCAGGTATAGTTACCACAGTTCTTCTGTAGCAATAAACGATTTGATATATTTCCTGACTTGCTTCCAACTCTCTGGCCTTTTCCTTTGACTATGACTGGCAAGACTATGACTGGCAAGAGCATAAAGTGCAAATAAGTGCATTTACTTATTTCTGGACCATGGCCAGAAAGTTCAAGGACCTATCAGTCAAAAGGTTTCAAGTGGATGCCTGTCCTATTCTGAGGGAACTCTCGTGTTCATTTTATAGAATTCTTCACTGGCTTTTAGAGCCATGCCCATGTGAGGAACATCTCCTAAAAGCTGAATTTTCCCATTTTGAGGGCTCTTATCAGAAAGCCAGAGCCCTGATAGCATAGTGGTTGGGCACTAGGCTACTAACCGACAGATTAGCAGTTTGAAACCACCAGCCACCCCCTAAAAGAAAGATGAGGCTTTCTGCTCCTATAAAGGGTGATAGTCTCAGAAACCCACAGGGGGAATTCTACCCTGTCCTACAGTGTTGCTATGAATTAATTGGACGCGACTCTATGGTGGTGATTTTTTTTTCAGAAAGTCACCCAGAAAATAACTTGCTAATGAATTTGATTTCACTTTGGAGATTTCCAACAATATCTTTAATTTGGGAGAGGGGTGGTGGTGGTGTTCATTTTTCATTGATTTTGTTGCTATTCTGTCATCAGCACTGCCATTTTCCTCCTCAGGGACACAACAATCATCAACCACTCTCCCAACACCAGCTATGACACAGCCCTAGAAGTTCGCATCCAAAAGGAGGAAGAAGAAATCTTGATGGCCAATAAGCGTTGCCTTGACATGGAGGGCAGGTAATATGCCAATCTGGACCCTGATGGATATAAGAAGTTTGTATAAATCCCACATAGGTCTGTAGGGTGGGAAAAGCTGCTTTATTCATAACCATGAAACCTAATGATGAGAGCTTCCTCCACCACTTCCCGCCTGTTACTCAGGGGTTGGGATATGATGACCTTTACTTTCCACTAACTGTGGAATTCCAACTAGTTATGCTTTGCCCTTGACTTTACCTCTTAATTTCCATCTGCCGCAACAGAATTGTTGCTAATTGTACTGAGAAGGATTCTTCCTAGCACTGAATCTCAAGCCTGTAATACAGCAGACTACTCCATAAAAGAACACTCACTTAACCTGGGAGAAGGGCACTTGCTGTCTTCTCTAAGCTCATAATCAGTTACTTATTACATGAAGGCTGTGGCTCATCCACAGATGCCTTCACCCTCTTGCTAAATATTTCATTTCTGTTGGTGCAGGGCCTTCACTCCAGTACTTACTACATCAATGTACTCTTGCATGTACACAACCTTTCTTTTCAGCTGTGTTCTGCTTTGATCCCCTAACATTTATGCAACTACTTCTGGGAACTCTGCTATTTCCATTCTTGCTTCCAGACAGGTATTTTTAGAAGTGTAGTACACCACCTCACTTCCTCCCACTCAGAAATCGGGAGCCCACCCCTTAAGTCACTGTAGAAAATGGGAGCTGAACCCGGGAGAGTGGTGAGAGCAGAACAGGGTGGCAGCAGGGTCTGTATAATCAACTTTGTCTCATTGTCTCTAACGCCTAGGATTAAGACGCTCCATGCCCAGATTATCGAGAAGGATGCCATGATCAAAGTACTTCAGCAGCGCTCCCGGAAGGAACCAAGTAAGACAGAGCAGTTGTCATCCATGCGGCCAGCCAAGTCCCTGATGTCCATCTCCAACGCTGGATCAGGCTTGCTCTCCCACTCTCCTACCCTGACTGGCACCCCCATCATGGAAGAAAAGCGGGATGACAAGAACTGGAAGGGGAGCCTAGGTAATGACAGGAAAACAAGCAAGAGTGTAGTAAGCAGTGTAAAGGGAGCCCTGACTTCAGTATCAGTGTGCCTATAACAAGGGACGATGACCTAGGTTACAGAGAAGAGCTTTACGAGGTTGGGTATTTTTCTTCCAAGAGACTCATTGCCCATGTAAGAACTTTTCTACGCTGTGAAATCTCATTTGACTAGGCCTAGTCATTAGAAGATAGACTCTCCAGTGCTGTGTGGGTGAGAAGGAAGATCACTTTGATTACCTCTGAACAATCCTGATTTGTCCCTTTGGAGACATTTTGTCTTTGTCTAAAGTTCATGTGGCCTTGATGTCCTTCAGAATTACAAAATTACAACTTCTATGCTCCTTCCTCCCACATAAACTAAGTCGTCCTGGGTGGCAGATTGTTGTTACCAGAATGTTCTGAGATGAGAACAGAATGTACTTTTTCCATTTCATTCTTCTCTATTCCTCCCGCCCCCTCCCCCAATAAAACCCGAGAAGTTTTGTAGATGTCATAAGAAATAGGAACATTTGTAGTGCCTGAGGAAGCAGATTGTGCCATTCAGCTATCCATTTATCCATCCACTATCCATAGATGTAGATATCGATATTAACTTTTCCACTTGCTTCTGGATCCTCTGCCACTTAGAGTATTCTTCGAGTAGGTGTTTGGGGAGGTAGGGACATGGGTATAGGTCATACCTTTGATCTGTGACTAAAGTGTTCTTCCTCTGATCCTATGTAACTATCTGATAATGTGCAAGGGCGTCATGAAGTCCGTTGGATAACTCCATTATCTTTTAGTATCATTTTTCCATGAACTTCCAAAAAAAAAACAACACACGTATGGTGTTGGTTGTAAGAATCTAGTCAAAGAGTTGTAACAGCCTGGTGAAAATCAATCATCATTGGAAAAATAAGTCAAAATAGATTTGCAAGATATTTAAAGGCTTAATATGTTAGACTGGAGGTTGGAGAAGGAGGGCAGAAAGGTCTTCCAAGTCTGAAAGAAACTTTTGGGCAATGATGGAAGTATCTGACAGACTGATTCTTGAGTTTTCTAGAGGCAAAAATGAAGCAAGAATTTAGATCCAATACCAAGAGGGTAAGGGGAGGGTGAGGGAAGGAAGGGGAACTGATCACAATGACCTACAGATAACCCAGTCCCAGGGGGACGGGTAACAGAAAAGTGGGTGAATGGAGACAGAGGTTGGTGTTAACACACGGGGGAAATTTTTTATAAATTATCAAGGGTTCATGAGGGAGGGAGGGGGCTAGGGGGGAAATCACCTGCTATCAAGGGCTCAAGTAGGAAAAAATGTTTTGAGAATGATGATGGCAACAAATGTACAAATGTGCTTGACACCATGGATGGATGGATTGTGATAAGAGCTGTCAGAACCCCGAATAAAATGATTTAAAAAAAAAGAATTTAGATCCATTCAAACATCTCCTAAACTTCTGTACCCCGAGCCCCACCACCACCAAGTACATAAGGGGGGCACAGATCATCTGATGTCATTGTTTTCGAAGAGGAGCCCTGGTGGCACCGTGTTGTGTTGCTGACTGCAAGGTCCACAGTTCAAAAGGGCTTTCTACTCCAGTAAACAGTTACAATCTCGGTACCTCCCAGGGACAGTTCAGCCTGTCCTAAAAGAGTCATTATGAGTTGGCATTGACTCAATACAGGTGAGCTTGGTTTTCATTTCGATGATGTTTTCTAACCCATGTCTCTCTTTCATTTGCAGGTATTCTCCTGGGTGGAGACTACCGCGCTGAGTCTGTCCCTTCTACTCCCTCACCTGTGCCTCCCTCCACTCCCCTGCTTTCAGCTCACTCCAAAACTGGCAGCCGGGACTGCAGCACCCAAACTGAACGTGGAACGGAACCAAACAAAACTGCAGCTGTTGCTCCAATCTCTGTTCCTGCTCCAGTTGCTGCTGCTGCCACTGCTGTCGCCAACACTGCCACCGCTGCCGCCACCGCCACCACCATGGTAGCTGCTCCTCCAGTTGCTGTTGCTGCTGCTGCTGCTAATGCTCCAGCTCCAGCTGCCGCTGCTCCTGCTAACCCATCTTCAGCCAATGCTCCTGCCGCCATTTTCGCTGCTGCTTCGCCAGCTGCTGGTGGTCCCATTCCAGTTTCTGTTTCCCCTGCTGCTGCTGCTGCTCTTGCTCCTGCTGCTGCTGCTGCTGCTCTTGCTCCTGTTCCTGCGGCAGCTCCTGCTGCTGTTGCTGCTGTTCAGGTTGCTTCAGCTGCCCCGGCTCCAGTTCCAGCTCCGGCTCCAGCTCCGGTTTCGGCTTCACCACCGGCTCAGGCTTCTGCTCCAGCTCAGACTCAGGCACCAACTCCAGCTCCGCCTGCAGCTCTTATTCCAGCTCCAGCTTCAACTCCAGCTTTGGCTGCAGCTGAGGCTCCTGCAAGTCCAACTACCAGCTCCGGATCAGGGCGTTTATCCCTATCGAGTTTGACCTACAATCTAGACAAGACAGGTAATGATTTTCTGACCAGTTCACTGTGTGTTCTGCCTTCAGAGACATACTGGTTTGATGACACCTGCATTTTAGGTAGAGTTGGTCATGTGGGAGTGAGACTATCATGCTCGAAAGGGGGATTAATCAGAAGAGGTAGGAAAAAGAATCTGTGAATGATTTCGCAGCCACCAAGACAAGACGGACAAGAGCCTAAGTAGAGGCCATTCTCCTGGAGATAATGGAGGGCTTTGGCAGGGAAGCTTCTCTGCCATAGTATCATTGGACCCCAAAGGCCCTCTGTTTCTAGATAGTTGGGTTTCCCCTTGTCCCTAAAGTGATTTCTAACCTTTGATTTCCATTTAGATGGTCCTATTTTCCGCTCCAGTCCTCTGGAAAGAAAAGCTGCCATTCAAATCCTGGGACAAGAGCCTGATGCAGAGATGGTGGAGTATCTCATCTGAATGGGCAACTCAAGAGCTGCAGCTGATCAGCAAGCATGCTTCTAATCATTTTTGTCCTCTCCTTTTGTTTTTTCTTTCTGAGGGTGAGGACAAGGGGTGGGGGTGGGAATGTTTTTTAAAGGGCCTTTCTTCTTCCTCTTCTTTGTTTGGAAACATTGTAATACTGAAGTAATACTGTACAAACTCCAGGCTACACTGGCATACTTAGAGAATACCTCTAAACACAACTGAATGCGAATGTGATGTGAAGTCTATGGTTTAGATTTATACAAATATCAAGACTGTTCATATCTGGCTAGGCAGCAGTGTTTTCCATGTGTTTAAATTTGTTTAAAATTTCTGTACACCAATTGTTTTTTTCATTGAAGAACACAGTATGTGTTGAAGGCAGTTTGTAACGTGTGGTTCTGAAGGGAGATGCTGGAAAGAATGTGTGCATTTACTGTTTTGTACAATTCTCGTCTAGACTGCATTGAGAGAAAGCTTTCTCACCTGGCTCGTGAAAAGCAATCCTTTCAGGAGCTTTTGTTTGCTGGACAAAAAGTGGGGACTATTGTGGTGTGGAAGGGTGCTGGAGCTAACTTTCCTTCCCAGTTTTTAAAAACTATTTAGCCCCAAGGGATGGTTTTCCTCTTTGTTTCCGTGGTGATTTGGAAGTGAATTCTTTTGGTTCCCTCCTAGAGTTTCAGAAGTTCATGCATCTGCTCTGGACTAAGTTATGCTTCTTGGGCTAATTAGCATATTGGTTTCAGATGCTAGAAGAGAAAATTAACCAGGATGGATGGACAACTCTCTCATGGGGAGTTAAAGTGTCAGAGGCCTCGATGGAGAATTGCACGAGGTGCTGCTGTATGTAGACTTTTGTGATTGGTGTGTAGCCATGAACCCAGACTGCTTGTCTTTCTGAAGAGCAATCAGCCGAGTGTTTATTTCTTCTACAGCATAAAGTCACGGGCTGGGTCACCAGTCGGAAACTGCTAATTATTTGCAATGAAGAATGATTTGTGTTGGCCGAGTCCAATGCTTTGGCTCTCTGGTGACTACTTTGCAGTAACTCCTTTTGTTTTCTTGAATTCGCAACTTAAGTCTTAAAAAGCCATTTGACTGTCACCTCCAAGGGAATAGCATCAGAAACCCAAAAAGTCCTGTGCTCCGGTTGGAGGAGAGGTTCAATGTAGCAGTGTCCTCACCTACCTCTTCTCCCTGACACTCGGTTCCAACTTGGAACACCTTTGGAAAGCAGCAGGGACCGGGCTGCCTCCAGCGACACACAGGGCTGCCCTGTTGCCATAGGTCCTTGCCCTGTGTCTCTTCGCTGCCCTCTGTTCAGGTGACAAATCCACAGATGGTGTCATTAAGATCAATTTTCAGGGGTTTGGGGAGGGTGGGGGGTGATAGATTAGGGTGGGATGGGTAGAGATTTTAGGGCTGTGTTCATTAGAATCCAGATTAATAGAAGATAAGCCTGATAATCGACATCATGAGCCAGGGTGGAATTTTAGCAAAACAGCCTTAGCCCATCGTCATACAAGGGAATTCTCAGAGTAATCGTCGTACAAGGGAATTCTCAGAGTAATCTGAGACTTGGAAAAGATTACTTTCTGAAGTTCACACAACATAGTTTACCACTCTGCCAATTACCATACTTATTTTGGAAAACCCTTAGATCTAGAATTCTCCATGTCAGTGAAAAGTTTCTTCATGCCTCAGGGCATATGTATTTTCTAAAATGTCCCTGGCTTGGATAGTTTGCCCAGAGTTTTGTCTTACCTCTCCTGCAGTGCCTTTGACAAGGATTTCCCTTTCCAGATCCCCATTTCCACCTCGAGTCCCATGAAACACCCTCCTAAGGAGCTCATCCCACTTGTTTTGGATCGTCTTATGCGGTTCCTCTGTGTGTACAGGGATGGCACATGTAACACTCATTGCTGAATTCGTTACTTACCTTCTAGAGGAATTATTTGCAGTGTGTGTGGAGAGACTAGAGAAACGTTTGGATGTTATTTCCAACCAGTCCTTTCACATTTTCCATAATGAAGTGACCAGCCGAGTCGTACTCGGTGTGGAAGAGAATGCCAAATGGAAATTAAGAGTGCCGTTGCATTCACTCTCATTCATTCAGCCGTTTTGTCAGAAGAGCACAAAAGGTGGGGGAGACAAAACCAAACCCAGAGAGTTTAAGCAAAAACACCAATTGCAGGGCCTCTAATCTTTTCCCAAATACATAAATGGAACAAACAATGCTATTCTCCTTCCATGGCCATACGCCATTATAAGAACTTTTGCTAACTCTAGAAGCTGTGTTTTGAATCACATTCTTTGGTGACTAGTGTTGTACATTCCACACTGAGTGGTGGCCATCTCTTTAGATTCATGTCTTTTGGGAAAGAGGAAGTTCTCGACTTCTCGACTAAGTACTATATCTATATTGAAGTGTCCAGAACATGTCTTTCCCCTCACTCCCGAGGTAGTCCATTTCCCCTCAGTTTTGAATCCCAGATAATTTGCTAAGACAATAATGTACAGCTAAGAGATAGAAAGAAGTCTATGTTTACGAAAAAGATAGATTCTGCCTTTTCAGAAACACCTCTAGCAGGTATCATATAAAAATCCAGGTTTATGGGAGAAATCTCAAGTTAGCCACCTATTTACTGTTGTGTGGATGTAACCTTTGGGGACCTTTTGGGGAGCCCCACCTATCTATGCATTTAACTGGCACCTCAAGTCAGGAAGGTGGCCTTGTCTTTAACTTGTACTGCCTTTCTGGAGAATGTCTAATCCTCGTGTACTCCAGTGTCCCGTGTAACAAAGAAAAAAATGACTTCATTAGAAAAGACATACTTGATATAAAATTCCTATTAACCATTTCTATTTACCAAAAGTAGCTTGAGTGTTCTTTGGAGGAGCCCTGGTGGTAATGTGGGGTTTAGGTGTTGGGTTGCTAACCTCTAGGTCAGTGGTTAAAACTGAGCAGCCACTCTGCAGGCCAAGGATGAAGTCTACTACCAGAAAGACGTACAGTCTCTACTAGGTGGCATTGGTTTGGGTTTGGTTTGCTTGCAAGCATTCTTTTAAAATCACATGTTCCATTGTTTTAATGAAGGATTTCATTTCGATGCTGCTTTTGAGCTTTGGGATAACAGGACTGTAGGACATGGAAATATCTGCCATAGAAAACACACCAAGAGACCTGCTGTAGTCTGCTTTGGTTAAGACACGGGTTCGTCAGGGAGAACAATTGGAAAACGACAAACAGATTGTACAAACTTCTTTTTCGGAAGAGCTAAAGTACTCATAATGTGGCAGCTTAAAGCGTGTATATGTTCACTAATTTTTATAAATTACATTCTCATGTCTGTTAGGCATTCAGTCTCCTGTTATCATGATAGCTCATTCACATATGGAATGTGTTACTTAAAATGTTTGCATTCTGACTGAAAATGTTGTCAAAGGAACGCATACGATGTGGGCTCATTGCCACCAATTTCAGCCTGCCATTATTCTTGGAAATCTCTTCCAAGTGCTGTCCATCATCAGTAGGACAAATGTCAGGGGCTTTTTGTTTGTTTTTCTGGTCGCAACGATGGGTGACATCAGGCCATCAACCCGCCTTCTGGGCTCTCTTGTGATTAATGGCATGTGTTTGTACAATGGGTAGCTGGGTGGGGCAGGGGGGGTTTGGGGGGTGGGGGGATGGTTAGAGAAGAATCACCTTTGATTTCAAATGTATGTAGCCCCATAGGCATTGAGTCCCCCCTCTGTATTCAATTGAGCTATAGTTCCAATAAAGTTAAGCAGGTTCGAATCCACGTTGTGCCTCTCTTTTCACTGACAATAAAATTAGCTATTTTAAATGCAATACCGTGTGGAAAATGCGTTGGTATTTATGGAGACTTTATTTACACTGTAGCAACAATTACTTTCAATTCAGTGTGCAGTGCAAGGACTTGCCAAGGACAACATAGAGCAGAATTTGCATTTTCTTAGAGTATGATGATGAAGTATGAAGATAGCACCATGGGTCACATTGCTCTAATCAGCCTCTATGTAGAGTTAGGCAGTACATATTAGAAGCTGTGTTTTGTTTTATCTCCTTACCTCCAAGGGCTAAAATGGCCACCCAAAGCAGAGAATTTAGCCTTTGGTTAGCAGTTTCGAAGACCTCAGGATGTGCTCTTGGATCGTTGTTCTTGTGCCAATTCATCAGTTTTGGTTGAGGGAGCTTGGTATTAAAAGTAAATAAAAACCCCAAGCAAGTTGGCTCTTTTCACTGGAAATGTTAAGGCTGCTTTACACTGCCATTCCCTGGACCTTTGTTTACCAGTGTGTCCCCAACCTGTCAGAGGGTGAAAACATTCCCTGGACTTTGAAATGACACTTTCTCATCATGATAGCAGTCAGATGGGTATTGCCAAAGGGATGAGGAAGGAATATAAAATGCACACAAGTCCAAATTTGGCCTTTAAAAAAATGGGCTATATTCTCTCCATTGTTAGGGTGTTTTAAAAATGGTAATTGTGAAAGCCACCCTTCTCTTTAAGGACAGAGAAAATAGTATTCAGTGAGCCAGACCTTTCTATAATTTTTTTGCAAAATATTCCTTTGAAAAACATAGTTTCCTGTTCTTATGAAGCAGTCTTTTGTGGGGAGAAAACCCAAGGATTCCTTCAGAATTTCTGAGATCAATGATCAGAGCCGCCTCTTAAATGACCTAATAATCTAACAACTTTTATCTGTATGCTACTTCAGTTCCTGTTTCTGACTCCCTCTACCTCTATCTTATCCTGAAGAACAGTGTTTTGTTTCCACTTTCAAATTGAGAAAGGCAAATGAAATGTGTGCTTTAGAATATTTTTTAAAGCACAGAATGAAGAGCCCTGAGTGATACAACTTGACTTCCAAGAACAAAAGTGGTCATACACGACACCCAAATTGTATATTGTATTGAAAATATATTGTAAATGACTCCTTAGACACCCAAACAGACCGAACCAAGGGTTTCTCTTCAGGCTCTCCCGGTTTTCCATTTGTCCACTGCTGCTACTACTGGTATGGGGCATGTGAGAATTAGTCCATAACTTTATATTAGCAGGTCCTAGGATATCACATTAAAAACTCTTGTCCCTGGGGCTAGCTCATTCAAAAATGAACACATGCAATTCATTATGATATAAAAAATGACAAAAATTTGAATAAAATAAATGAGCCAGTGCAAAGGGCGGAATGGGTTTCAGAATGACCTGGGCTAGGGGTGGGGTGGAGCGAAGCTTCTGTGGAAGGATGTATAGGCATTAACATGATGCACCAAGGGATGAAGCAACCCTTCCTCGTGGAAGAAATCGCGTGTGCAAAACCAATCTTTGCTGTGTCAGGCTTGCAATCATATGAAGTCTGTGTTTCTAAGATAAAAGGTCTTAGAGAATAACTCTTGAGTTTCAACACCCAGTAATAACCTACTAATAAAAATGAAAATTCATTCAAACATATGAGTCTAGAAATCAGAAGCTCATGAAGTTCTAATCCTAGGTCTGCCTCTACATGTAGGTTGACCTGGAGTAAGTCCCTTAATGTTTCTTTTTTAAGTAAAATGAGGATAATACTTGTTCCTGTTGGCCTCCTGGAAAGAGGATAGGAGAGCATCACAACGTTGGAATATTGGTGGGGGGGGGAGTTACATGCAAAACAATGTTGAAACCACAAAGAAGCAACCATTTAATTTCTTGTTTTAAAATTCAAATACATGAATAACTGAGTACAGAGAAAAAGAAAATGTTCTAGAATTGACTGATAAGGAATATACAACTCTTGTTGATATGGTTGAACTATTGAATTGCACGCTATCTGGATGAAGTGCCAATAAAACTTAAATAATTAGGCAAATCCAAGTACACAAGAGCAAACAATATTTCAACGCAACTTCAATAAATATCAATTCATAGCTAGTCTTGTGCCACCACCCCCACCACATATTTTGAAGCACATGCCATTTATAAATATTTCAGCATGCCTAAAAAGACATTTTTAATAAGGAAAAATATAAAGCACTATACCTATAACCCAAATATTATAACTAGGACCATAATTTAGAACTGGGGTCCCTTCCCAAGCATCTTCCTTTTATCCTGTAACCCAAGGTTTTTCAAAAATGGAGGTGCTCATTCCATAGCCCACTTTCAGTGTTTGCTAACAATGAAAATTAGACTTTTATTCCTTTTTCACCATATAAATATCTCAAGGGAAAAAATGCTAACAACCAAGGCCCCATGCTCCCCCATTAATGTCATCGGGTTACTATTCCAATTGCACTTATCACAGTCATCCTCTCTAGCCAAAGATGTGATATCCCAGATGACTACAGGCTCCCC